CCCCCTGAGCAATAAAGACAAGTATTTTTAAAAAAAAAAAAAAAAAAAAAAAAAAAAAAAAAATTTTATATATATATATATATACATATATATATATGTATATATATATATACATATATATATATACGTATATATATATATATATATATATATATATATATATATATATATATATATATATATATATATATATATATATATATATATATATGCCAGATGTTTTTAATTGTGGATAGAAGGCAACAAGAAAAATAGACTGCATGTCACTGCAGGGATGTGAGCACACTGAGTTTGAGTTCGGATTCATGATGGTTATAAAGTCTACCAGCTGCAGCAATGCCTTATATAACAACATTTCTATAAACATTGCATGATAAATATAAAAAAAACTTCTAAAGATAACAAACACTGTTTTTATGGATCGTCCACCTGTTTGGAGACGGCTGACAGGTGTTTTCAATCACGACCCAACAGACGTCACAGGTTCCCTCAGAACACAAGACCCAGACAACTTAGCATTATTGCCTCCATAAAGACTTCTCTTATATGTGCCTTACAATGTTATGGAAAAGTTTCATAGCATTTCTTTATTGAAGAGTTCTACTGAGATAAAAGTAAAAAGACATGTAGAAAGACATGTGCCATTGGCCTTTTTGGGGTTGTGGCAGGAGAAGGACAGAGAAAAACACAATGCATGTAGCAAGAACATGTAGAACCTACTGTCAAAACACAGCCTGTGTGCATTCGTTTTACATCCATTGGGACAGTCATCATATGTTGGCCAGCCCTCTTGCCAACACATTGACAAGACGGTGAAGTCACAAAAAGTAACTCACCTTGTTACTCACAGCTGGACACTGTGAATGTAAGCCCTATCTACAGCTACAGGATACATGAACGTTTGGCAACAAGAGCTCATCAAAAGCAGCCCACATACTTCACTGATGCTATGGAACTTGTTCCAGAAAATCTCCGTCATTTCTTCACATTTTGTTTGATTTATGGAATCCACCATTGCAGCTATAATAATGACAGACTTCTATTTGTTGTAAAATGTCTTCTTTAGTAACTTTGCCGTCCTGTTTTCTGTTTACAGGTCGTAACTCCTCCGCAATAAGTCACTCTGGCCCCTTCAGAGCTCTTTGTCCTCACCAGTCAAAGAGCTTCTCCCCGTTGAGTCCGGTCCGTCTAAGGAGTCTGATCAGACATCATGGGAACGGTGTTGTCGCTCTCGCCGAGCTACCGCAAAGCTGCTCTCTTTGAGGACGGCCCGGCCACAGTGGGCCACTACACAGCTGTTCAGAACAGCAAGAATGCCAAGGAGGCTGCGGCAGCGGCTAAGTCCCTCAAACGCCCCTCCATTATTAGTGCTTTGCCATGGAAACGGATCGTTGCTGTATCAGCAAAGAGGAAGGGCTCCAAGAAGCTGCAGTCAGAAGTTGGGGACGGCGGGAAAGGGAGCTCCCCGGAGGGCCACGCAGCCACCACGACCAACTCAGCCTCCAACAGCCTAAAGCTAAAAAAGTCTCAGTCCTGCGCTAACCTCACGTCATACTCATCTGGTCAGGACCCCTCGGCTGCCACCACCACTACCTCCTCCCACCTGCCCACCTCCAAGACCGTTGCAAACGTAGCTGCTGTAGTCGCCAAAAAGAATTCCCTCACAGGACCTGGAATCCTGCCTTCCACCGCCGCTGGAACGCCAAAACGGATCATTGTTCAGGTAAGGCAAATGTCACGTTTTTAATCTTTTTGCCTGAACTCAGCAGGAACAACAAGTTAAAGTTATTCTCCAAGACGACTTCAACTTGGCCCGAATGCAACTGTCCATCATTTAACAAACACCTGAGCCTGTTATAACGGCTTCCTGTTCATTACAGAATTGATATTAAAATGTTACCGTTTGTTTTTAAAGCTCTTACTGGCCTTGACTAACCTTACTTATTTGACCTTTTAAGTCCTCCTGTATGTGGGAGACCCCTAAGGTAATCAAATCAGCTTTTATTAGATGTCCCAAAGGATGAGGCCGAAGCACTGGGATTACTGGGTCTTTTCAGAGGCAGCACCCCAACTCTGGAACAATCTCCCTCTAGACCTTTGATCCATCTTTAAGTCTAAAGCTCAAGACCTGATCACCTTAGTTGACTGTTTTTAAAGGGGACTTATTATGCAAAATTTCCATTTTGCACATTTTTGTACTTTCATTCATTCAGCCATTTTCTTGTGCAAGTGTAAATGCTGAGTTGGGGTTTGGGGAGCAGCATCTGTTTGTTTGGATTTAAAGTGATAAGAGCCCCTGAAACATCTCCTTCTCAATATAGGCAGAACTGACCAAACCGAATCTCATTATCTTAGAAAGATTTTGTGCTAAAAATCTTGTGAAAATCATGAAGCTAATAGCAAAAATTCAACCTGGAAGACTCCATCCCCTCCGTTCGTCTATCGGCGTCATGCTCATCTCCGACCTCAGCGCTGGACCTCACCTGGCGTGTCCAATCATCAATCAAGCTCAGCATAAAAGGATCCACACCCAAGTCGTCGGCCGCTTCCCAGCTGCGTTCAACCCACCACCTCCCCTTCTCCACCCACATCCTTCTGCTCTCCAGGATGGCACCCTTTCCAGACCTCCACCACCAGCGTCGGGCCCTGGGGGAGAGCATCCCTAATCGGTTATCGGGATGTTCATCGAGTTCACATCAAATCTCAGCTCAGATCAGCTGCCGGGGCCCGAGCACCAAAGAACTGTTATTCATTGCTGTCATTAAACCTTTTAATTGTTCCTTTTTCTTCGTCTGAGTCTTTCCAGATTGAATTATGAATATGTTACGTGTAGCCCATAGAGTGTGCTACACAAACCAGGTGACATGTCATGTTCAAGGAAGCATGATGTGTCACCTTTAATTAATCGATCAGTCAATCAAACTGACATCTGTTCCACCTTGCACCTTCTGTTTCTTTCCATTGACCTGTATTGTCTTTTCTGAACCCCAGGCTTCCACCAGTGAACTGATGCGTAGCCTCGGAGAGTTCCTCTGCCGCCGTTGTTACAGACTGAAGCGCTTGTCCCCCACAGACCCAGTGCTGTGGCTGCGCAGCGTGGACCGCTCCCTGCTCCTGCAGGGCTGGCAGGATCAGGGCTTCATCACTCCAGCCAACGTGGTCTTCCTCTACATGCTGTGCCGTGACGTGGTCTCGTCCGAGGTGGCCTCTGAGCGGGAGCTCCAGGCCTCGCTTCTCACCTGCCTCTACCTTTCCTACTCCTACATGGGCAATGAGATCTCTTACCCGCTGAAGCCCTTCCTGGTTGAAGCAGAGAAGGAAGCCTTCTGGGATCGCTGCCTGGAGATCATCAACCGGATGAGTGGCAAGATGCTTCAGATCAACACCGACCCACACTTCTTCACCCAGGTGTTTGCCGACCTGAAGAATGAGAGCAAGAAAGAGGAAGAGAAAACTAAGCTTCTCATAGGCCTTGACCGATAGAAAGGATCTGGAAGGTGAGTTAGGAAAGGTGGAAGGATAGAGAGGTTACAGTCAGGGAAGGCAAATGGGAAACAGAGCTGTCTTAACTTAGAGAGATACAGTCGTCTGGCATCTCTTTTGGTCCACCATTTACCAAATTTCTTGTTCGTAGCCCCAAGGAAAAAAACATTTCAGTTCATAAATAGAAATGAAATCACCAGAGCCAGCTAATGAATCACTTATACACAAACAGATGGCCTGTGGGACAGATTTACCATGTCAGAGTCAATACAGTGTGAGACCCTGAGGTGGTTCCTACACCTTCACACCAATTAGTCCACTGGACCTGATCAAAGTATGACCTCTTAGCCTGAATAACTAAAGTGACTTGGCTAGAAAAAAGAAAACTCAAGACATTTTCTCTAACTACAGGTAAACACTGAACATCATTCAAATGGGGAAAAATGTCTCTTATAGTGCCTTGCAAAAGTATTCAGACCTCTTGAAGTTTTACACATTTTGTCATGCTGCATCAAAAAACTGTGGCATATTTTAATAAATTATTTTATTGTACACAATGAAATAATTTATTTTTATTGGGACATACATGGCTTAGAGCAAGAAGACATGATTGTTTCTAGAGTTGGACAGTACAGTAAGTACAGTAAGTAATTGAGATACTATTTTTGAAAATTGCAATGAGAATGTTGGCTACAACAGACCCATGTTCTTAGACTCTTTCCTCATCTTTCATCACAATGTTTCCACCAGTCCTTTTGTGGTAGAGCATCTAGGCCAACAAAAATGTCCATCCACTGTGGGACCAGAGAACAAAACGATTTCTGACATCCAAAAATTGCATACATGGCACTTAAAATATAAGATTCCTCCAATTAGTGCATCAAAGCATTCTTATCATATTAACTGTGATGTGGCACTCTGATATGTTTTTGAAAAATTGATACATTGTTATGTGACAAAATGTTGAAAAGTTCAAAGGACTGGAATACTTTTGCAAGACACTGTATAATATCTCTTATCTAGAAAGCAAAGTTCTTTTGGAGATACTAACAGGAAGTATTTCAGAGATATTTTTGATATCAGTCTTTAGCCTTAGGCAACAAATCAATCTGACCTGGAACTTTTTCAGGGGATATCATCTGAAATCTTCCAAACTGGTTCAGAGACGGCAGACATGGACCCACATTCACATACAGCACCAATCAATAGTATACATTTTGAGTCAATGGCTTGACTTTTGACAAATATGTTGTGTTTTACACGCATTGGCACTAAATCACTCCATGAAACCCAAACACACAGCCAACAACTGGCCTCCTCCTCTCAGGCTTACTCTCATGGTCTTGCTCAAGCTCCTTAGCTGACACCATGATGTGGGAGAGGGGAAGTCGAGCAGTAATATTTCTCCCCGGTGAAATTCTCGCTGTAATTAAATATTCCATCAACAATATATCTAAAGTACTGTATTTTAAAGGAGCATTCACATTTTATTCAGGAAAACTCCGCAAACCGACTACTTATATAGAAGGTTAAGTGAAATCTTAGTCCTTCTTGCACAGATCATTGATCATTAAGCAAACCTACCCGCCCTTAATATGTTTACATTTATGAAAACATGACAAAGTGCAATACTCAACCCTCCAGGGCACATATTTACATGGGGAACAGATTTAGTTGTTTTAATTGCTGCATGTCGGTGCTGAATACTGAAAACATAAGTAGGGAAGGAAAAAAAGAAAGGAGCAGGGAAGGAAGGAAGGAAAGAAAGAAGGAAGGAATATTGTATTCTTGGTAACTTCCTGTGTCATGAGGGACGTCCTTAAGCATAAATACTGAAACATCTGAAGAAAACCTAGTCATATCAGAGAGTACATAGATGTATTTCCTCTTCCAAGGCAGTTCTATGACTTCACCGTTTGGTTCTTGAGACCCAGGCTGCCGGTACCATCCTCCGTCTCCACTGCTCAGTGCTTTCAACAGCAACACGGACAAAACTTCTTTCCCTTCACCTACCTTGCTCCGGACCAGTCAATCTAGTCCAAACCAGAGACTAGATACATTTTTAGGTCAGGCGACCTGGTTGGCTTTATGTTCTGACCAAGCTGTCTGACATGCATGTGTGCTTCTGTAGGTTCCCTAGCATGCTGCTTTGTGTTGGACACGCTGCACCTCAACAACACAAAAGAGACTGAGGGGTGGTCATGCTGAACTACTGGAAGTAAGACACCATGTTGTGGCATCAAGATGACATCTCTCTCATGGGGGAGACTGAGTGACTTGGGTTAGAATTTATTCATGAAAGAGCAGGCAGTAGCCCTTCATTTTAAACTTCTATTATGTGGTGACATAGCACCAGGGTTGAAAACGAGCCCACATGATTTCCAGTAACTGAAGTTCACTGTAGAATAGATAGGCCTCATCTACACCTCTCCAGATATTTTTTGAAGCAGATTTTTTTTTTTTTGTCCTTCAGTTTGGAAAAAGTCTGCATCTGCATTGGCACGGTGCAGTAGGATTCCATATCATAATGCTGTAAGGCCTATTTTGTCCCAGCGGGTGGCGATAATGATGACAATAATGATATTGAAATTCAAAAGCAGAGGATCCTCTTATAAACCCTCGTAACGCCTTGTTCATGGCTACCTTTCTGTCTACGCAAATGACATCTCAGAACTGAAATGCCCTTACATGGGCACCAACTTGTCAACTAATTTTGTAATCAGTATTACTTCAAAGTGATGTTCATGACATCAGAATGCCCAGTAGGCATCTACGACAAAAAGCTGGACTTGAACTGGGCCTCAACACCACTCTAAGTCCCCACATTCCAAAACCCTTTCTAGTTCATTCATGCCATTTACAGAAATGTGTTTGAAATAAAAAGTAATTTTACTTAGGGCCTGGTCAATGCAAAACATGTTTTAGGGTCAGGGATGGGGTTAGGGTTATGTTTAGGCATTAAGGAATGAGGGGATTGCGAGCGGTGGGTCCTAAGGCTGGACCACAAGACCACTGCCTGGACAGTGTCAGCATTTGATTGGGGAAAAGGTCCACATTTAACCCAGACACCTTAAATCCGATGTAGTTGTCATGCCAGGGCGCAAGATGGCGAAGGGGATTTTAACATGTTGAACCTTAGCTTCCAACTCACTAGCTTCCAGTCCATTTAGAAAACAGTAACCCGTCTCTGATGAATCAAGTAACACACAAATTCCTAAGTTGTGTTAAAGTGAACAGGTAAAGTAGCATGCACAGTACAAAATGCTATCCGCCACTGTTGATGTTATTATCTGATTAAATCCTACAGTCGTGTGTTCTGCACATGTGCGCTTTCACACCTGTGGAATACTCCACACCTCTGTGGAGGTTGCTGCAGAAAGGTTTCACTCTGAGCCCTGGCTTCAAAAGGTGCCGGTGTGAGAAACTCTGATCACTGGAGATGTGTAAAGGAGCGGCTGGATTTCAACAAGAATGTTACGGTTTCGGTGAAAATATCAGCTCTGATGCTTCAGACTGAAAGCCTCTCTGAAGCTTTTCCATCAAGAAAAGATTCAAAATATTATTCCAAAACAATTCTAACTCAGTGTGGACATGCACAAAATGGGATGATACGTCATTTTTAATATTTTCCGTGTTATCAAATCATATGGATGCACCACAAACATTCTAAAGTTCATGGTTTTTAAAACTCACCTTTGGAAAGGTATTTTTTTCTTTCTTTTTTTTACTGAACTGAAAATATTTGGTTTCCAAAATATCTGGTTTGTGTGGACAGGCCTTTAGTTCATAAACTTCTAACTTGCTACAGAATTTTCACCTAATTTGTGAGACAAATGAAAGGTACTTTCGATTGCTACTCGTCAAGGTAAAGCAACCAGAGCAGAGCCACAGAGGATGACGGTTTGACATTATCATCCCAGAGGCTTTACCTGGATAATTTTATGTCATAAAGTCAAACTGTAGCAAATAAACTGTCTTCAGTTGTTAAAAATCTCTGCCTTCTCATAAAGGTCAGAGATCTTGTGCCATATCATTATGAAGACTCATTATTTCATATAAAACTAAAAAATAAATAAATAAAAAAACACAAAAGAAGAAAAATGAGCCAACTCAGAGTTTCTGAGTCCTGAACAAGAGAGACTGTAAAGAAAAAAAGTTTTTCATACATTCTGTATCAGAGATGTAGAGCAGAGAAGAAGGACTTTGGTGGGTTGCAAAAACATGGAAGCTTGTGATTTTGTTACACAATGAAATTGTACCTTTGTTAAATGTATGCCAACTTTGGAATCACATGACTACAGCATTCAACGCATCTATGTGGATTTTATGATTTCTGAAGAATAATAATAGGCTATTTGATGTTTCAGAGTACTGAGCAAAATCAGAATTGCGTTTCTAGGTGGCTTTTGAAAACAGAAGGAAATGGCTTTTTAAACATGATAAATGACTATGAATTATCTGCAAATTCCAGATGAGATGTGTCCATGTTGCAGATATTTGTCAAACTCTGGTTGCAGTTTGGAAGTATATGGAACTTGGCTGGGCTGCAGCAGCTAAAATGATGAAAATCATGTAGCCATATTACTACATCAGACCTCACAAGTCAAATATGCAGACAAAGGATGAAATTAGGCCAAAAGAGCTTATTTATATGTCACTCTACCTGGAAGTTTCTGATGGCTTAATCAGACCAGTAGCATCTCTTTTAAAGGCATTTCCAACCTGACTTTCCACATATTGTTTTCTCTTTAGCAGTACAAACTCCAGTAGGTAATACATCTGTTGCTGCAGGGTAATGGAGGGTAAAAGATGTGTCCAAACGGTAGAGATGCTAATTTTCCCAAGGCCGTCCAATGAATCCACAGAAGTCAAGGTGAAAACAAATACCTTGTTTTTCTAGATTTCTGTGATTTCGGCAGGTCCAACATTTCAAAGAGCGAGAATGAATGTGCCGTTATTTGATTTCAATTCTTGGAAAAGTAGCTAAAATCTTAAGGGTTTGTTAAAACCAGTACAAGCTTTCTGTTCTCCTGCAGTGATTTTACAATAGCTATATCTTATCACCTTCAGTTAACCCGTGAGCTAACTTTTCATTGCTGCCAGGAAATTTATTTCTAATTGACCTAATGTAGGCCTATTTTACAGGCAACAAGGTAAAACTGTGCTGGAAGACTTTAGTTATACCAAATTGGTCTTTGGCAAAAAGTCAATATCTTAATATTGTTCTTGGAATGTAATGTTGGTGAATCTTGGCACATGAATTTGCACTGTCTAACTGCTTTACATTTAATGTTGTGTGACAGAATTTAAATGTAAAATTGTGCTAGCAGGTTTGCTAAAGTATGAACCTCCTCAAAGGGAGCTAAGTTTTTCCAGTAGTTCACACCTAAAAGCTCTAACATTCGGTACCAACACACAGAGTATGTTCAACAAACTGTTGAACATACTCTGTTTGTTGGCAGACAGGCATTTGGTTCATAAACCAAAGGCCATTTAATTCAAATGCCTTTGAATTAAATTTGTCAGGCATTTGAATTAAATGCTAAATGCTAGCATGACTGTAGCTTAGCTAGTCTACATGTCTGTTTACTACAAACTCATGAAATCTCATAGATATATCTTCAGTTTGAGAAACCCAAAGCTTGATGAACATTTTGTGCCAAACTCCAGCTGCCAACCTGTGACCGAACAATCATTCTAGAAAGATATTGTTTTGCTAGAAGCTAACTAGATCATGTTGAAATCTGAAGTCTCCACAGGGCCTGTCACTGAAAAAAAATAAGCACCCAGCTATATGGGGCAGTCAGTTTGCACTCAGAAGTCATAACTAATATGTTATATGTTGGGAAAATCAATGTTAACAGGTTACCAATGGCTGCCACACGTTCAAAATATAGTGACAATTCTAATAGAATATATTTATTTGCACTTCTGATGGTTTGTATGTCATGAAATCAATCACAAATCATGATACTCATATTGAACAAGTTACAGTGTTTTCATCCATAAGATGTAATGTGGACTTGTATAAGTTAGCCTGTTCACACAGAACAATTCTCAATTTCCACTCATTTTGCATCTATCAGCTGGAATATATAGTTAAATTCAGGGTGACATCATTTCCAGATTAAGCTTTGACTTCGGTGATAAATGGACCATAACGGTATATTAAAAATATTAGAACAACTATGTGAATGTCAGATGATGATTTTTGTCAGACAAGTGTTGATGTGTTTTCCCTAAAAACAAAACGATTTGTGAACATTTATCCACATTTTTGCACCAAGCTGCTCCCATCTGGTAGGGGACAGTAACCTGACAAGCTTAAGGTGATAACACCAGAAGGATCGTTTTTGTGATAGAAAAGTGTGACTTGGCAATTTCTGCCCAAATTTTCATCCAGGATCAACTCATTGCAATGTGCCATATTTTATCTTGCGTCATGTACAAGACAAAAACTATTGTGGAAGCTTCTGATATGATGAAGTTGGTTCAATTTTACTCCCTTTTCATTTGTGGCTCATGTGTAAAGAAGAATCTTTGTTGAACAAAAGTCAAGGCTACTAGTGTTACTAGAGTGCTAATGCTGCAATATGTTATGTGGATGTATGAATATGTATGTGAGAAATAAGAATTATTTGATCAACTGTTACAATGACTTTATATAAAAATCTTTCCAAGCACTGTGTTTTTGTTTATTTCTAGGATATAGAGTTGTTTTCTTTTTTTTTTTTTTTCCTTATTTTATTTAAACAGACATTTTCAAAGTTTGGCCACAAAAGGGCAACAGGAGATGTTTGAAGGAGAAGATTTTAGCCATTCATGGTCTCATGTCATGTACAATATGACATAAACTTTTTTATTATCGTTGCTACTAACAAACTTATGTTATCACCATAAAAAAGGTACCATAGCGTATACATTATGTGTTTGCACTACATACTAACAGAGAAGAAACAAAACAAAACAAACAAATGAATCAAAAACTTAGCAGGACAATTGTACATACAACAGAAAAATCCAGGGCAATACATTAAAGTACACATATTTTCAAACAAGAGGTCAACTTAAAAACATTTTTTGACTTAAGAAAAAATAAGGACTTATGAAACAAATTCAACTAAATATTCCATTGCATAAAATCAGGGATGGTTTTAAAGAATCAACATTTGGCCAATAGGAGAACGTTCCTTGATGTAAAGTCATTAATGATGTCATCACATGAAATCTGCTCAGCTACTGTTGGCGTTCCTGAGACATGGTGGACCTCAGATATGTTTTTGTAATGTTTGTTATTACACAATAGCCAGCCCCGCCCTTATCTCGCCACTCATTCGACTGACTACTGACCAGTTCTCTGTCTAACAGGTCCGGCAAATCTCTGAAACCCGGGTCTTACCCCAAAGTCGGTTTATAAGAGATATTCTATTTAAACTGGTGGTGGAAAAGACTCGTCTAGCTCTAACTACCTACAATCCAGAAGTTATTACCCTTTTCAGTTGAGAAACAGTCAGCTGAGTAGCCCTCACAGCTGCATAGCTGCAACAACCACTCCTGTTAAGGGTAGCTCTTTTCCTAAAATAACGGCACTTGTTTACGGCTAGATTAGATTTAGTGACTTAGACTTAAGTCCCAGGGTCATTATTTTTACACTCACCAAAGGAAAGTACGAAGCCACCACATCTCTAGAATCATGTACGCTAATTTTACTGTAATCAGGGGAAACTACAATGATCAAATGACTCAATTAATCTCAATGTCCACAAGTTTCATTGGAATTTTTAGTATGTAATTTATTAAGCAAGCTTTAGCAGGGATAAATAATAAGCAGATTAACTTTCAGAGATTACAAATTTGCAATAAAACAATAAATTCAATTTAAATCAATTACAACCTATTTTCATTTCTATCCCTATCCTGTGTCACTAGTTTAACCAAGCGAGGCTCTTGGGGGGCAGTTCAACTCACACCCAGATGGCAATTGATCCCAGCAACAGAAATCTTCAGATATCCTTGGTCAGAGTCTTTGTCCTGACGCGGCAAAGTCCCCTTTCAGAATAGAAGCAAAGCAGAACTGCCCGTTGTCCTTCAAACGCACAGATCTTCGCCAATCAGTGACCTTTGTCTTTCCTCCAAGTCTGCTGCAGTAGGATAGAGATCGTTGGGTTGAGGCAGAGGTGTTGGTCGAATCAGGAACCAGGGCTGGGGGTAGATGGATCCTGTCCCTTCTTAGCGGCGTGAAGTCTCAACTTCCCCTTGGTTCCAGGGTGCTATCCTCTGCTGGTCTTTAATCTGCGTCCTCTTGTTTGCTCACCTTCAACGCCGCGGACAAAGAACAGTCTCTTCCCTTGTCTGCTGGTTTTTAAACCCTCTCAGCCCATGGTTGTGTATGGGAGAGGTCTACGTGACTTCTGAAACGTTCCGATGAGTCTATGGAAAGCCCCAACCTTTCCCAACCATCATCTCTTTCGTGACCCATTGCAGCAACTCTCTTCTGTACTTCCCTTTTCCTACTGGCCATCTGGCCATTTCTCGTAACTCACTTCCCTTTTTGAGCCTCCCCAGCACCCCCGCCTAGCTCAGTGTACTAATTGTGACACAGTCTGCTTCATTTCTCACGATCTCAACTCTTCAGTCATCTTATTTCTGTAATTTATTATAAAACATAATCAATTTGTCATTGTATCAACTTATAACTTTCAGTATGATTCTCCATCACTTATCTATTCTGTAACTCAAGCTGTTCCTATTTCTAATCATCAATAATCAACATACAACAGACAAGTTGTTACTGTTACTACAGATCAAGAATACAGAATATATATTTCAATCACACATTACAGTCATTACAGACCATTCCAATCATTACATATGTATGTATTTTTATTCATCTTTTAATCATCATTAAATCAATATGCAAGATTACTGTTATTTCTCAGGCCTTTCACCTACCATCTACCTCCAACACAACATCAGTGCCTTTAATTACAGTTACACATTCACCACATTTCAAGTTCAATGTCAAAATCACATTTATAACCTTTTAGTTTCTCTGATTTAGCATTCATTTATAATTTTATAATAACCATATTACTTATTAGTTACTCTTATTATAATCATGATGTGAGTTATTACAGACATTTCTGAAAAGAAACCAAGAATAATCCATTATTCTAATTATTTGATACCAAAGTCACAGTTACTTCTTTCACCTTTAAGTACTTCCATAAGTATAAGACTAAGTGTAAATATTCTTATAATCAAACCAACATCAACCACTGGTTAAACCAATATTAATTATTGGCTTAATAATAAGTTATCATTATTAATTTAAGTATTTTACTCTGGGTTTTATTCAATTACTCAAAATGTTCAGATTTTATTCTTTAAACCTTTAATGCTCAAAATGAGCAGTCTGAACTATATTTAACCACATGCAGGCTGGAAACTTCCTCTTTTTCCAGGAAACCTGCTTTTCCTGTTACATGACTCTCTATCTGCCTGATTATGATTTTTTATGATTAAATAGAAAAAGTAGAATTAAAGCAAAGTTTGCAGGACAGAATAACAACACACACAACCAGATTAATTTTATTACCCTCTGACTCTACTGATGGGTCTTGATGTCACCTGTGTAATCAGTTTTAAAGATAACTTTATTTATTGTTATTAAACTAAAATCTCCAGCATGGGCAAGTGGGATGAGCTCGACTTTTCTCGACACCCCCTCCTCGAGGTCAGACCTTTCACATGCTGGGAACCCAACACCCTCCTGCAGGTCTGCGTCCTCATCCCCTGGAAAGAGAAGATGGTCCTCTGGGATGTGAAGATCTTCCATCATGACAAAGGACTCAGCAGTCTGGGATGTGAAGATGCATAATCTCAAAACTCCACTGCTCTTTGACAGTAAGTTTCAACTTTGAAAAACGTCTCTCTGCTCCAGCCACAGATTATGGGACTGACCACAAGGAAGAACCAGCGAGGAGGACTGAGAGAGAGGTAATTAAATACTGGCAGTGTGAATGCTGGAACAACAGACTGGACTGATTGACTAATAGGTTGCAGGTGTGAGGGGGGAGCGAGGGAAAATGGCACAGGGGGCGAGAGAGAGTACACAACAGGGAAACTAGAAAAATAAATCTAACATTAAAGAATAACTAAGAAACACAAAGAAACTAGAGTAACAAAAAATAACTAGACATAAACATACTAAAGTGGAATCACAGAGAAAAAACTGAAGGCTGATTTAATTAAAATAAGAACCTAAGGACCACTGAATAATAAAGGAACTAAAATCGGGATCATTGTTTTGATGCCATAAAATAATATTTTTGCTCATGATCTGTTACAACAAACAAAAATAAGTTATGTGCTGACTGGGGCAGATTTTGGTGTATGTTAACTAAAACCACAACAAATCTGCAGTAGCAAGAATTAGTCTGTGGCTCATTGGGTGCTGTGTGCAGAGAAAGGGACGGGAGTTTAGAGGCTAAACGACCCGGTGATCTTCATGAGAAAAAAATAATACCGGACTAATTTGAGTTCAACTAAAGAGAATTATCAACTGGCAATTCTAATGTCGTGACTCCTGTCTGTCAACAGAATAGGGTGTTTCTATTTTTTCCTCAATGTGGTGAATATAAAATAATAGTATAACAAAAGTCACCACAAAATAATCAAACAAATACAAGTTTCTTTACCTTTTTGTGCCGAGATTATATCTAAAGTCAGTGGGTTTGAAAAGACACCGGTGTTGTCCAGACTTAGCGTCAGACCCACGTGACCGGTGAGCAGCAGGGCTCTGTCCGAGGTGCTGAAGCAGGAAAACCAGCCCAGCAGCCGAATCCACCGTTAGTTTTCAGTGATATGTGGTCCAACAGCTCTGACTCGAGCTCCGAGCTGCTCCGCGTGCTGCTGTATCATCACTCAGAGATGGTTAACGTGATATCTCCAGACTCATCCCGCCCCTCGCGCACCCTTTGGCACGCTTCCGCCTCAACCGACCAATGAGAGCGCTATGCGCTGCAGCTTATAAAGCGATCTGCCGTCGAGCTGTTCACCCCACCGTCCCCCGCCGTCGTATGAATCACTGAGCCGAGCCGCATCCCCAGATCTACCGCAACCCGCGAAGATGGCGACCCGGGTAAGAGAGCTATATGTATTACTGTCCCGCTGTAAGAAACAGAGTCGGCCCAGTGTTTGTCATGGGACAACATGCGGCTCACCCACTGCTGCAAGATGTCGGTTAAGTCTAATCTTCCCGTTAACCTGGAGCGCACGGCAGCCTCGTTTCCGCCTGAATGTCACCGTGACTGAAGAGCGGGGCTGTGTGTTTCAGCTTTAGCTGCCCTCTCTCTCTGTATGTGTGAGGAACATTTTGGGCCAGGTCTGCATGGTCTCAGCCTGCTAACAACTACCAGAATGAACAGAAAGCCGAGGCTTCGCTTTGCCCTTGAGCCGCCTTAGCTGCCTGACATGCAGCCAGTCCTCCGGATGGTCATCAAATAAGGAGGCAGGGGCAGGCTTTTTTTTTTCTTTCTTTTTTTTTTTTTTTTGGTAAAAAAAAAAAACAAAAAAAAAACAGCGCGTCCAATTTCGCGCAGAATGCGTTAATGTCGCCTCCGATCCGCAGCCCTGTGGCGCTGAAAAATCCGCACACAGCGGTGTATGGGTGGCTGCTGGATGGTGCATGTTGATCTGACTTGTTTTGTTCAACCCGTCGACGCGCAGGGGAACAGGGTGTTAAAGGTAGCTTGTGTTAAACCTGCCCCGCTCGCCTGCCATCAGTTTCACTACAAGCCCCTCCTTGCAGTCCTCATCATGTGAACGGGGTGGATTTCATTTAACAAGGCGAACCTCTCTTTTTTTCTGCTTTAAAAGCCTCGGAATAGCGCGATGTCTAAGCAAGGATTATGTAATTACCTCTAATTCCAGCAAATAAATCCATTTGATATGCTTTACTGACTTGACGGATGAAACCAGAGTTTTGTCCCCATGTGTTGACATGTAATGCACTGAATGTACCCTAGTAGAATATTTACTACTAGAGGGCATTTATCGTATCTTTTATAATTTATCGTGATCCGTTTCTAAGAAGCATTTTGATTTAAGGTTGTCACGATAAATTCTAATTATGGATCTTAAAATCCACTGAAGCTGTCAGTACTGTGGGGATTGTTAGTTTTACTATTTTCTCCACTGTTTGTTCAATGAGAATGTCTTTAAATATGAATACATCTAAAATATGATTAAATGCAGTTACTGTGTATGACTGGTGCCCCAAAGAAGTGTGTTACAAATAGGAATGTTTAAAGAGCAGCATGTATGATTTCTGTTATGCAGTCATAAAATTACCTAAAAAATGTAGTAAATAGTTCTTATGGTCACTTTTTTCGTTATCACCGTGGTACCACAAAATATCATGATGAAACTTTAAGTCCATGCCACCCATCTTCATTTACTACTCTAAACTAACCAGATCTTACTAAAGTTGAACTCAGTGGGCCAAATCCTGTCCACCATAACTATTTATTTGTGGAAAATAAATAGAACTTCAAGATAACAGCTGTGTGCTTATATGTTATCAGTCAAATCAGTTTTTATTGTACAAAAGTACATAATGTGAAAAGATGTTGAATATTATTGATTGATTACTTTGCGAGCGATGGAAACCCAAATCACATTCTTGGTTTGTGCCGACAAATCTGGTGAATAATTCTGACTGAACTTTAAAAAGTACTCATTAAATACTAGGATATTTATATCCTAGAGTCTAAATAAAGAGACTAAAAAACACCCTAGGAATTGTGTTTTTTTTCCCCACATGTTTAATCAGATCTTCCCGTCAATCAGAACAAGCTTCCTTGTAAGGATTCTGCCAACACCATGTTTTAGAGTCACAGTTATGTTTTTAATACCTGGTAAAAACCCAAACCAGCTCCTGGTTCTACCCCTTCCTTCATAGAGAAGGTCTGGAACCTGGGTTGCTGAGAACCCATTGCTTGCTGGAGGCGTCATTGATTGTGCTGAAGTTTGAAATAATTGGATCTGGTTTTATACACTAGCTAACGTTTAGTCATTAAATACAGCTGCAACAATAATATATCTTAAACATTCCTCCATCAATCACTCAATATTTGTAAGTGTGGCCAACAAGCTCTGGGTAGCTTGGTTTAATTCCAAAATATAACCCTCTATAAAACAGTGTAGAAAATCACCATCATCTTTCACAACTTCTTCTGTTCTCTGATTGGCCCCGTTAAAATTCTACTGGAGAAATCCACTTCAATGGGAGAAATTCAATTGAAGGCACATGAGAGTCAAGCAGAATTCCATAGGAAGGCAATGATCAGGCTGATGTTTTTAGAGAGATGTGCAGTGGTAGTTTTCTACCACATATAAACCTATGATCATCAATTTTCTAGACCTGCTGCCAATTGTCAATTAGCTTGTCTCAGTTCTTCCAGTTTTTGCCCATCCTTTCAACTCTGACCAATGTCTCAGCTGAAAAATTAAGGCCTGCCCACATCATGATGTCGCAACAACCATGCTTTATGGTGGGACGCTGCGTTCAGGGTCATATGCAGTTTCAGTTTTCGAGTACATACAGTGTTTTGGATGAAAAGTATCATTTTGGTCTCATTTGACCAGAGCCCCTTCAACATGACTTAGCAAACCTTAGCAATGGCTTTCTTGTGTCACAAAAGCCAGATTTATGACAAACAGCTGCAGCGTTGACTGGTTATCCTCCCGAGCTGTCTGTGGGGGTTTCGCTAAGTAGTCATTTCTACAGGAGGTCAGAGGCTGAGATAAGAAAAGACAAATCTTGGCAATCCTGTAACTCATCTTTTATGTTGTTGCCTTGGAGACGCTCAGGTTTGGGAGTCTACATGCTGTCATTTTACCTTAAAAATCACTGAACATGTCACATCAGGCTAATTCGTTTTCTATTTTAATCAGCAACATGCCCAGTTTCTGTCCTCATCAGTGCAGACAGAATGCACGCTCATGATGCTAACAGCTGCTAACAGTTCAGAGCTCTCCCTTAGAGCTCATACTGCAGCTTTGTCCTCTTAAATATGGTATGTTTCTGAAGGAAGTTCCTTTAAAGGGTTGATCAGCTGCAACCAGCTAAATCTGAGCTATCAGCTGTTAGCTTGGTGCTCTTATCTAAAGCAGCACTGTGCTGTTTGTGCTGAGACATAAATTTTTATCTCAGAGGAAATGAGTGACTCACGCACGTAAGGCTCTTCTTCCCCAAAGTACCTTTAACACATTTTACCTAATTTTGTGTGTTAAAACAAATGAAAATAACAATAAGGCTTGATAGGACATTCATTTTAGCTGGTCATTTTGTATGGAGCCATGGTTCCTCTTCTCTCAGGATAATGACACCGGTTCACTGGCAGGATCAGAGACAGAATCTGATTTTTGGTAATCTATAACTATTTGGATTCTTTCAAATAAGCAGAATTTCAAATAAGCCAGTCGAGTTTCATTCTTCAGCTAGATGGCAGTCACCAGATACTAGATATTAATATCTGTATCAGTTACGATATTGAGAAAAATTCGGTGACATTGTGTCTGATCCATAAGGTCAGATCTATTCAGTCTATTTCTATGCTTTGTCCTCTGAGTGATGTCATGTTTTATTATTTATTTTACATTATATTTAGAATTCCCAGTTGCACTTTCTGAACCATTTGAAAGGTTTTTGCAGTTAGTTTCATTGACTGTTCTCCTAATTGCACTGACTGAACAAATGAAAGTTGTTGTTTTAACATGTTTGACCAAGATTATGAAGCTGTTGGTGTATTTAAGTGTGCTGTGCTGATTCAGAGTTAGCAAAAAAAATGTAATTCAGTACATTTATCCTTGTGATAAAAAAAAGACATCTTTTCATTTGATTCAGCTCTGTTTTTCTGCATTGGATTGTTATTGACATATACTAAACCTCAGAAATCTGTGTCGGTGGAAAAAAATGGAGCTTGTATAATTTTTTTCTGTTTTGATGGTACATTCTCATTTCTGGTCATCCAGCATCAGTCAGAAGTATCCACCGGCATTCTGATCCCAGAGAAAACCACAGACTCACTTGGCCATCTGAGCACTGTTGCATCCTGGGATGTGTCAAAAGGAGTCAGTGGAAAGCAACTGGCTATGCAGACTGACAGCTTGATGACCTCAACACCAAACTACAAAAACACAAAGTCTTTTGAGGCCATCTTAATAAAAATAAATTATTATCCAGGAGTGGGTCTGTGTGTGGGATACTAGCACTGCTGAATAGAAGTGTTGGAGCAGACTAAATGCTGAATTGGTTTAAATGTTGGTTGAACTAACAACATTTGCTGGGGCAGACTAAATGCTGGGTCGAACTAAATGCTGGGATGGACTGAATGATATTTGCGGCCAATCCAGGAGCATGATTCTTTTTCCTTGGTGTTGATTGGCTGTACCCCCAAGAGTGGCGATAACACAGACTGTGGATGCTAGCTTCTGCAGTTGTGCTAAGATCATTTCAATTGTGTGTGCATATTAAGGTATATTTGGTGTTTAAACTATTAAAATGGGAAGTTTGTAATGCTTTTAGTAAAGGACTCAGTTGTTCATGATTTTCATCATCATCCACTAGATAAAATAATCTAACTTTTTTCTGTTTTTTTAAAGTTTACTTGCACTTCTGCAGCAGAAATGCAAGTAACATTCACACTCTGGTTGTGCTGAGATGAATGATTCTGTAAAATACTGATTTAATTTAACATTTTTCCGCTATACAGTGTGTGTAAATATCTGGCCTTGTTAAAGCCCAGAAACCAAAGATCGGATATATGACATTTCAATATCTAAACAAGCAAACACTGAGTTACAGTTCTCCGTATTCTCTGTGCAATGACTGTTAGGTGTGAGACAGAAACAGTGCTGGGCTTTCGGATTTTAGAGGCTGTTTCAAATAAATTAATATTTTTTTGATCAGATCTTTAAGCAGGTTTCTAAAAGTTGCACGCTAATTGGATACCATGCAAAGAGTCACATTTGTTCTCAGTCCAGCCAATTAAAACCAATTTATCCTTTCAATAAAGAAAACTGTTTTTTGACAAATACCTACTATTAAAAATAGTCCCATTTTATTGCCATTTTTAG